CAGTTATGAGATCATATAAGTGTGAATGTATATATGAAATTGATAAAATTAAAAATTAAAATTTAAAAAAAAGAGTTATGGATGCTCCATCACTGAAGGTTCTTAAGAATGAAAATGGACAGCCATTTGACTAAGATGATGGTATAGGATCTCCTGCTTGAGCAGTGGGCTGGACTAGAAGACCTCCATGGCCCCTTCCAACGCTTGTTATTCTGTTATTCCGTTAACCATTGGAAAAGGTGGGACTTGGTATTCAGCCAATCTAGAAAAACACCGTTTTGGAAGAAGCTGGTTGCGTAAGCCAGATCTGGGGAGGAAGCAAGGGGGAAAAAGTTTGATGCTTATGCTAAAAGAGGGGTTGGGGGGAGAAAGGAACAAGCAAGAAGATTTTTAAAAAGCCATATTTGGAGGCAAAGAAAATGGCAAAGAGGCCTCACAGCCTTCTTGGAAGTAGCATTTGCGTTTTCACACCCTCGTTTTAGTCACACCCAAGGATTCGTTTTGAGAGTGCACTGAGATGCACAGGTTTTCCTGTCCCAGCAGTTTCAGGGTGCGAAACCCAAATTCGTTTAAGAATAATCGATTAAACGGCAGCAGCTGCCCCAGATAATCTTTACGAACAGGAAGGTCATGACCCCCAAAGGCCCAGGCAGGAAAATAGGATGGATTAACTCCCCTCCTTTGCTCCAGGTCCAGAAATGGTTCTTTATTTCGGATTAGCTGGAAAAAAACAACGGCATATTTATTTATTTACAGAGGGAAAATGTCAATTCCTAAACAACAATGTTATTTATTTATAGAGGGGAAAATAGAAACGTAATTTCTAAGGTTGGATTTTCCCCCTTATCAGAGGGAGCCCCCTTGTGGAATACTGCGAAGCTGTTACCATGGCAACTCCACTTAGCTGTACAGTAGAAGCCATTTTACAGCAGTACAGTAGAAGCCATTTTGGGGCACAACAGGCTGTATCTTAATAGAACACACACCCCGAGGGGTGTTAGGGATGTCTTACCCCCACAGTGTTTTTTTTTTCCCAGAGAGTAAGTCATCTGTGTAGCAAGTTTGGTTGAAATTGCTCGAGGCGTTCCAGAGTTTTGCTGGAACACACACACACACATAGAGAGATTACGCTATAATTTTATTTCATATGGAACCGAGATCATTGCTCCCTGTGCCTGTAATACTGGAGGGGAGGTCTCCAAAATGTGGAGTGTGTGAGTTTTTAATTCCTTGCATCTCAAACAGAGGGGCTTGTGTGAAATGGGCAGCTCTAGAAATCGTATCAACAAAACTGCTTCTTTTTCTTCTACAGGTTCCAGATCAAATTTTGCCAGCTATGCAAACAGGTAAGTTTCTGCAACTTTGAAAAAAAAATTCTCTCCCTCCCTCTCTTTTTCTCTCCCTCCTCCCTTCCTCTTTCTCCCTCTCCCTCCCCCTCTCTCTTTCTGTATCTCTCTGTCTGTCTGTCTGTCTGTCTCTCTTTCTCTCTCTCTCCCCCCCTCTCTTTTTCTCTCCCTCTTTCTTCCCCAACTCTCTCTCTTTCACACACTATTGGTTTAAGACACATTAACACTTCATTGACACACAAAAAAGATTTTGAAAAGGGAAAGAAAACATAAAAGTAGCACCAGAAAATTGGTTATGGATACGATTACGTTACTGGCGACATCTTGGCCTTAAAGCAATGGAGAAAATTTCTCGACATGCTAGCAAATATCTAGCTGCACAAACCTCACTTGGAAATTAGTTCATTTTGATCATGCTATGTCATATTTCTGAATTTTTCAGCCCTTCCTTCCTTTTGGGGTTTCTACAGCCTTTTCCCCCTTTCTGGACCATCTTCCCGTCAATGAAGAGTTACCCTTATCTCTACCCCTTTCCCTGACTTGGATTGTGAGCTGCCCTGAGTCCCCTTCGGGGAAAAGGGCGGCATATAAATGCAATAAATTCAATTCAATGAAGAGTTAATGAAGCAAGGAGCTTTATTCCAGCCAATAAGTTGAAAATTAAGAGTTCGGCAGCACCTTTTCTGGCTCGTGAGAAACTTTTTCATGAATTGTGAATTAAAAGTCGGATAGCATGATACGTGGCTAACAAATTTTTATCAAAAGGCAGACGCTTTCAATGACCGCTGTTTTGTTTTTTTAATTGCAGGTATCCCAAAGCGAGGTGCAAGCATTCATTTAGCAGGTGTGAGCAGCCAGGCCAAAGGTGAGAGGTGGCATTATTTTCTGGCCATTTGGAATTGGAGAAAGAATTGCTATCAAGGCAAGAGTCAGATAAGAGGGGATTAAGAGCCGAGGTGGCACAGTGGTTAGGGTGCAGTACTGCAGGCCACTTCAGCTGACTGCTATCTGCAGTTCAGCGGTTCTAATCTCACCGGCTCAAGGTTGACTCAGCCTTCCATCCTTCCGAGGTGGGTAAAATGAGGACCTAGTTGTTGGGGGCGATATGCTGACTCTGTAAACCGCTTAGAGAGGGCTGAAAGCCCTATGAAGCGGTATATAAGTCTAACTGCTATGGCTATGTAGAGCCGAGGTGGCGCAGTGGTTAGAGTGCAGCACTGCAGGCTACTTCAGCTGATTGCAGTTCTGCAGTTCGGCTGTTCAAATCTCACCGGCTCAAGGTTGACTCAGCCTTCCATCCTTCCGAGGTGGGTAAAATGAGGACCCGGATTGTTGTTGGGGGCGATATGCTGACTCTGTAAACCGCTTAGAGAGGGCTGAAAGCCCTATGAAGCGGTATATAAGTCTGCTATTGCTATTGAGCACAGGCCAAGAGAGAGGAACTTGAAAAGAAAGCTCACACAACACTCCCCCTAGGACACAAATGAAGCGGGAGAGGGGAGGGGGAGAAGCACAATCAAACTTGCAAAGTCCTATTACCATAGCGGAGTGCCAGGGTTCCCATCGGAGGTGGGTTGTTCCCATTTCAGCCCAGATTGGGCGAACCGGTAGTGGTGTCGGCAGGAGGCTCCGTGCCCGAATCGGTACTAAAAAAAATTGGCAAGCCACCATTGGTTCCAATTCATGCACCCATTGCAAACGGAACTCCGAGGCAGGTTGATTCCTTTTATTTGGAGAGATCATCTTGGCACAGCCGGGTGGGAAATCAACTCTGAGAGTTCCCGCGCTTTCCGTCTCATTAAAAAGTGAAAGTTTCCTGTTCTCTCAAACAGTATGTTCACATCGTCCAATCTGGTTGCCGGCTGGTTGCCTGGTTACTTTTCTCCTCCTCCTCCTCCTCTGGCCAGCCAGCAGTTGGAATGTCCTTGACTTGTTAGAAAACTGTTTTGTTTTGGCTACAAAACCCCGTTATCTCTGCGCACGCACACACACACACACACACACACACACACTCTCACACACACACACACACACACACACACACACACAGCTCCTGGCTGTGTCAAGCCTGAAGCCATGTGAAGAAAAAATCCCCACAGAAAAAGCTACAGAAAAGAAAGCCGCCACCTCCAGGTCAGCTTCAGGGTTGACAGTCATCCCCCCTCAGTTGAAGAAACCCTCAACCCTCAAAGCTTTTCAAACTGGGCAGCTTTACAACACGTGGACTTTCAACTCCCAGGATGCCCAAGCCAGCATGTAGTTGTAGCTTACCCCCCAAAAATAAAAGTGGACTTTGAGGGCATTGGTGTTTTTTTTTAAAAATCTGGTCTTACCTTATTGAGTTGACACGGAGTTAATGAAACCTCTCCTCTTCCTCCCTACAGTTCTACACTGGAAGAATACGATCTACGCCCCGAAGGACGATGCGTTCTCCAACCAGGATGGAAAAATCACAGTTAGCAAAGACGGGCGGTATTACATTTACGCCCAAGTCACCTTCTGCAGCAAGCCAGAGCTGCACGCCCCGTTCAACGTCCGTGTCTATCTCAACCTGCCGTCGGAGACAGATCAACTGCTACTGAAGGGGGTGGGGACGTACAGCACTTCAGAGGACCTCTGTGGCCTGCAGTCCATCCACGTGGGCAGGGTTGTGGAGCTCCGGTCTGGCCACACCATCTTCGTCAACGTAACGGACCTCTCCAGGGTAGATTACGCCCATGGGCATACCTACCTGGGCCTCATTCAGCTCTCCTAGAAAAAGGTTCTGCGGCCCGCCCTGATCCCTTCCTCTGCCCTCCAACCATATTTATGAACTCTTTGGTTCCATTTCTTTTATAGATATATTTTATTTAATTTATTAATTAAAGGAGGGGAGGGCGAATGGTTCAATTCCGAAGGTTATCAAAGACAGGCGGCCCTTAAGGTGAGAGGATAGCTGTGGTTTGCTCCAAGTTGGAAAGCTGAAGGTTGCCGCTTTCAAGACAGCATCTCAGGTGGCTTCCAGGACTGTCGTTGGAGGAGAAAGCGGTGTGCCTCTTAAACCCATGCGTGCTTTGCTAGTAGAACTCAAGGATGGACAATATCCCGGTGGGGAAGCATCTGCTGCTTCATCCTGGAGGCCCACCCCAGGTCCCAGTTACCTCCAAAGAGGACTAAGAAAGACCCTTAGGAAGAACTGCTTGCTCCTCACCGTCAACCAACGCTCCCCAATCTGATGTTTTTCAGGTGTGCTGAGATGCCAACTGCAAACATGCTTAGTCAACCTGGCCAGCTTTGCACAAGCATAACAACCCTCCTATGATTGTATATTAGTATGTTTTGTAAAAGACTAACGTGTTTAAGGGAATAAGAGAGTTGGAAGGGACTTTTGAGGGTCTTTTAGTCCGTGACCCGTCAAAACCGCGTTCCACAAAAGCGCGGTCGACGAAATCGCGCATGTGACATCATCACAGCGCGACGAAAAAGATCGAAAAATTGAAATAAAAATTAAGTTACAGCAAGCCGATTCACATAAAGGTAAGCGTTAGGTTAAGGGTTAGGGTTAGGGTTAGAGCGTTAGNTTCCTTTCCTTCTTTCCTTTCCTTCTTTCCTTTCCTTCTTTCCTTTCCTTCCTTCCCTTCCCTTCCCAACATTGCAACAAGATCTTGAATCCCATCAAGCAACATCTTTCTATCCCCCCGGGGAAGGACTCGAAAGGTGGACAAAAATACCAGCTCTAAATATCTGTCTGACTGTGCAACCAACAATTAAAATGAATATATCGCTCGGAGACCCTGGGCAACTTACTAATTGTTTAAAACATTAAAAGAAAGAAAACCAAACAGGGACCTAAATAAAATAAGATGACCGGATGACAAATTGGGTGGGAACAAGGAGAAAACAATCAACATTCGGAGGTGGTGTTACTCATCCTGACCCCACAACTGTTTTAGGGCAACATCAATGCTTCAGAAAAGGATGAGCTACTCGGTTGAGTCATTGTCTTTCCGGCCAACCTACTTAACAAACCTTGATAGAACAGGGGTGGGGTGGGGTTCTGATGCTGTCCTAATTGTTTGGGGGCGAAATCGGGGCAGGATGAGTTCTGTTGACTTCAGTCATTCCCCCCTCCCCACCTTGATTCTGAGAATTGGTCCTCTTGCAACACCGAGGAACTATTTCCTCCATAGCTTTGCACGCTAATTGTCTACTCAGAATTGAGCTGGCGTCATCCTGTTAGTCTGAAACCTTACTTAGAAGAGAAGGATGCCTTGGCCATGCCTTGCCTTGACCATGAGCCAACTTGGGTTCAACCCTCCTGTTCAGCTAGGAGAACCAGGAGAGGACAATTTGATCGTGACTGGGGCTGGTTCACCGGAAACCAGCCACCTCTGTGTCATCTTCCTGATTTTCGCCCTAAAGCTGCAATTCAGTTTTGACACCATGTGGGAATCTAATACAATGTGATTTCATCATCTTCTATTGTGATATATCTGTGCGTGGCCCTTTGCAGAAACCTTCCAAATCAAGATTTGATTTTTAAAGACTAAAACAGGCCCAAAAATATATATATTGTTAGGAGTTTCTCCAGGGGGCCAGGAAGTATCAGGATGTTTCCCAGTCTGCGATTTAACATCTCTTTAGGTCCTAAACTTCCTTTACTTTTTAAAAAAATTAAAAGATGGGAGTGATATGATCCATGGCGATGAGCTGCTTAGATTAAAAACTCTCCTCCTCCTCCTCCTCCTCCTCCTCCCCCCTCCTCTTCCAGAAGAAACCGGACAGCCATTTGACTAGGATGAAGGTATAAGATCTCCTGCTTGAGCAGTGGGTTGGACTAGAAGACCTCCATGGTCCCTTCCAACGCTTGTTATTCTGTTATTCCGTTANCCCACTTAATGGAATGTATGTTGTGCTGTTTTTTTTAAATTATGTTATTTTTTAATTCTTATTTTTATCTTGCTGTAAGCCGCCCAGGGATTGGGCGGCATACAAATTTATTAAATTGCCAAATTGCCAAATTGCCAAAGTGCTGTTGTGTAGTATCAAAGAGGACAACACCTTATCCGTATGTGTTAAGCAAGTCCCCTATGGTTTAAGGCTAGAAGTCTCCAACCTTGGCAACTTTAAGACTTGTGGACTTCAACTCTGGGAGTTGAAGTCCACAAGTCTTAAAGTTGCCAAGATTGGAAACTCCTAGTTTAGGAAACCAGCTCTAAGGAATGATAAACACGGGAGTTTAGCAGAGTTGACGGAAATGAACCTGTGCACGATGAAAAGAGAAGAGAGTGTCCCAACTCCTCCTGTTCTTAAACAGCCAGCCCGAAACGGTCGAAACAAAACATTTTCTGATATTTTCCGCTTAAACATGCGGAGGTTGTTGTTGTTGTTAAGGGAGCCGTTTTGCAACGACCTCCTTTCGTTTTTAGCCAGAACTATACTACTCCGAGGAGAAATAACCTATCGTGAAAGACGACGGCGCACCCTTGTCAAAGCCACAGCCTTGTTTTCTTTTTAAAAATCCTCTTTTATTTCCTTGAAAACCAAAATTTAAAAATTTTCTCAAAATAAAAATATTTTTTAGAAAAAAAAAAGGGGGAGTTTGATTGCATCAGTCACGGGTGGGCCCAGAAATAAAAAAAAAGTAACAAGAGAGGAATCGAGAAGCAAAATAAAGAGACAAATAAGATGAGGTCTTAACAGAAACCTATTTACATAAAACTGTAAATATATATTTATATGTATTTATATATGTATATGCATATTATCCAATCAGGTTCACATGGCTTCTATTCCTTTAGTACAACTGTATATTCTTCCTTTTGTTTTGTTTTTTTTTAACAGCCCGATCCTATGCATTTTTACTGAATTCCATGGACGTCGCTGAAAAACATGGAATTTGTGCAGCCTTAATTGTCCTTAGAATAGCAACACACACAAACATATTACAACATCTGGTGCATATAGTGGAAACAAAGGTTGAATTCAGAGAATAAGGCCAGCACTTCCTAAATTTTGGAGGCCTGGACACAGTAATTTCCTTGGCTGGAGGAAACATGACCAAGGAGAGATGGAATTTATGCTTACCAAGGAAGTGGCAGTAGTAATTGTTTTCTGGAGAAATTAACAATCCTTAAGAAATCAAGATTTTTATTCCCATCTCTTTGGCAATGATCTCCTTCTTACATTCCAACTTTGAGATTTTTCCTACCGTGTGCCCAGAGATTTGACGGTTTCCTTGATTGCCAAGAATTGATCAGCGTTAATATTCTTCCCCTTGACCATGTTTGGAACTGCTTTGTTCCTGGCGGGTGGGGGGGGGCACCTCAAACTTGGTGGATTTGTAGATGTTTATTCCAACCCACCCCCTGTCATGCTCCAGATACAGTTTTGGAATGGCTTAAGACACATCTGGATCCACGTTTTTGGAAGCACCTGGCTGGGAGTACTAAGGAAGCACAGAAATAAGTGGGCCTCAGGAGGCATCAGAGGACCATCTCCGCATTCAGCTCAGAGAGATGTCCTTCCTCCCCACGGCTGAATTTAGGAAGGTTTGAGGAGAGGTGTCTCCAGGTATGTCCTCAGAAGTTGGCAATGCTCGGTGTGGCTGGCACAGGCCACCAAAGCAACCTTCAACTCCATCGCTCCCCCAAAGAGAGAAGCAATCATCCAACCTTGGCAACTTTAAGACCCATGGACTTCAACTCCCAGGATTCCCCAGCCATGCATAGCTAGGAGTTGGAAGTCCACGGATCTTAAAAGTTGCCAAGGTAGGACATCCCTGGTCAAGCTGGGTTGACCCCTTTCAAGAAGTTCCTTCATAAGATAACAACTGAACTTGAAAAATCTATCATACTTTTTCTTTTTTTGTTTATAAAAGAAGGCCTACTAGGAAGGGTCGAGATAAGAACTGGAAAGCATTAGCATTCATCTCATGCACTTCCTTCATTTTAGTGGCAAAGCAGGGGAAACAGGACCTCACAGTCTCAAAAATGGCAATTATTACATTTCTTCTTCTTCTTCTTTCTTCTTCTTCTTCTTCTTCTTCTTCTTCTTCTTCTTCTTCTTCTTCTTCTTCTTCTTCTT